ATACAAGCTCTTGACTTCCAACAGAATGGACTTTTGATATCTTTACAGAGGTGAGTTCAAGCTCTCCTTGTCTTTGGGTGCTCCACGGCATGAGGCTGTGGTAGAGCTTAAAAGCCAAAGTTAGGACCATTATTTGTTCCTTTGACTCAAAACATTTGAGGGCAACCATAATGCCTCTTCTGGGACCTCTTCAGGAGACAGTCCAAATGCTACAACCAACTTCTCCAAGAGGGACAGGCTGCTCCCAATCTCTCTGAAACCCTCTCTGTTTCTCTGGTCATTCATTTCCTGCTGTTGGACTACCAAAACGTGACTCCACGGACCTGCCACTTGCGAGGAGCACGTGGGAATGAAACCAAAGCCATAGCACTTTGGGGAAGGTCTCCCACTTGGCTGGCAGACAGGGGAACCTGGATGGGAGCAGGAGTGTAAGGTGGGGGTGGGCAGAGCTGCAGAGCTGCCCCATGTGCTTGGAGCTGCAGCCCCACACGCTTAATGAGCACCAAATGTGCATTAAGTGAACAGAGGGAAAGCCTTTGTCAGGCAACAGCGGCAACTACCACAGCGGAAACAGTCAGAAAAGCCTTTCCCCTTAAAGTTTACCACTTTTACTACTAGCCTGGCCTGGTAGCCTTTATTGCTACCGGCAAAGCTGGGACTTTGCTCTCGAGCCAGCCAATGAGAAGCATCAGAAAAGCTGCATCCATGTATATAAGCCTGGTGCACTTTTGTGTGCATTCCTCGGTGTGTGGGTGCCCCTCTGTGTGCACATGCCAAGGGCTCTGTGCGTGGGTTTGGGTGGGGCAGGAGCTCACCTCGCCCTCCTGGCTGCTGCTGTGGGGAGCCAGGCTGGGGGCAGCCAGCGGCTCCAGGCACCCTCCCGCAGCTGGGAGGCTCGGGGGGGAAGTTCAGTAGTTCTGCAAACAGAGGCCTCTCTCAGAAATGCCGACAGCCACTTCAGGGGCAGGTTTGCAGAAGAGCTCAGTGCCCCTTTGCAGAGCTGGAAGGAAGCAATGGCTTCTGCAGGGAGCCTGTCACCTCGAGGCCTCCTCCAGCTCTTTGGAGGGTCTGCCCCCACTGTGCCACACACCTGCCTGTGAAACTCAGAAACACTGCAGGAGCTTTTTGGAGAGCCCTGGTAAACATGTGCACATGTATGTGGGTCCTGCAGGTGCAGAGTGGGACAGGGTTGGTGCTTGGCCATACTCTTGGTTTCCTGTGAGCCTCAGCCAGGATCAGGGGCTTCCAACAACAGGAAGGTGTGAAAGGCACTGAGGCCATCTGGAGGGGATATGATCTTAGCTCATGCAGGTGGCAAAGCGCCCCCAGCTCCATAGGAGTTGCCAGGAGCTATGGAAGCCAGAGTATTGTGATTGTCCTCCTCCATATTCTGGCTACCAGACCCCTAGCAGCAGGGCAGGTGCCTGGTGACTCCTGGATGAAGGGTCACTCCTGCAGCTTGAGACCTCAGCTAAGCCATGCATCCTGTGCTTCTGGTGGGAGACCAAAGGCCTCGTGGTGGGAGCATCCTCTGCTCTGCACCATCCAATAGGCACTTCTGCATCACCTGACCCCTGTCCTTGGGGTGCTTCTCCCAGGACTGACATTGACCTGCTTGTGCCCATGGCAGGTGGAGACACTTGACCACATTTCATCTGCTCGTCCAGGATGGCAAGAGAAAACTGAATCCTGGCCTCCTCTGCTGCTCCTGGCCCTCCCATGGCCCGCAGTGTCTGGGAGCTGTGGCAGGCATGCCTGCCACACCATGCGGCGTTTCTGCAGGCGAGGAGGCCTTTGAGAGGCCAGGATAATGGCTAATAGTGCTGTTTTCCTCTGCTCTGCTTTCCTTCAAGTGAATTACCAGGGTCTTGCTGGGAATTATCCTGCCATTACCCAGCGCTCTGGGGAGCTGCCAGTGATTTACTTAACAGCAAACAACACAAAGAGCCGGACACAGCGGGAGCTACACAACCAAACAAGCTGGGGAACGTGCAAGTGGAAGAATAATGCTGTAACAGCAGCCAGGGTGCAGGGATCCGGCCAGGGCTGCCAGCCACAGATGGGCACAAGGATGTCCCCAGGATCTGCCCCCGAGTTTGCATGTGGACCTATTCCCAGCAAAGGTAGATTTGGTCCATGGACACATCAAAGGGTGGAGGCCCCATGGCTCTGTGCTCGACTGGCCAGGGGGTAGCCCAGGGCTGTGGCACAGAGGAAAATCCAGTTCTCCCTGCTCCTGGAGGGGTACTGGTCTCAGGGATGGTGGGAAGGCTGTGAGTGGGTTCTCAGCAGAGCCAGGACTGACCCCCTGCTCTACACCAGGACCCACCAGTGCCTGCACAAGGGGTGCAGCAGAGACAAAGAGTCCTGATCTCTCTCACTGCCTCTTTGCATCTTCCAGATTCTGTCCTTGTCACCCTTAATTATCCCATGGGTGAGCAGGGTCCTCAGACACCCATGGCCTGGCCCGCCCCAGCCACACTGCTGCCTGTGCCAGTCTCAGCTCCAGCAGATCACTACAATTCCAGGCTGCTCCCGCCTCCCTCCAGGAACTGCCCTCTGCACACAAAAGGGTGCAGACCCCCCCACACCCATGTGCCTCCCATATGTGTCCCCAGCATTTATGCTGCACCCTCCCCACAGGCTCTCCTGCGTGCCATGTGTCCCCTGTCCTCACACAGGCTGCCCCTGCACAGCCACCACGTGGCCCCCCAAGCCCCCCAAGCACCCACACAAGCCCCCTTGTCCTCCTGCCCCGTGCACAGCTCTGCACACACACACACACACACACACACACACACACACTCTCCTCTTGACACTTCACAGGCGCCGGGTGAAGGAGGGGCTCCTCGAGTGCTAGAAAGTTGTTCCTACTCTGCGCTGGGAGAAACCACATTACTCACGAGTCCCTTTTTAGCGCGGCTATGTGTTTCCCCCTTCCATCTCCAGTCCATTAGCTACTATGGAAACAACATGTCATTGCCCGGAGGTGGAGTTCAGCCACAGCCAAAACAGCCGAGGATAAATTCCAGCACCCAAATTCACATCCTGGGGCAAAGCCTGTGCAGCTCAGCCAGGGAATGGGAGCAGAGTCCTGACTGTGCTAAAGGAACAGATCTCAGTCAGGGCATGCTTGCTGCAGGATGTGTGGGGTACAGAAATCACTGGTGAAGACCCCACTCCCCAGAGTGGACATGGCACCACAGGGGAAGGCCAGGATTATTTACACTTCCAGAGCCTGATCAAGGGCATGTGAGTGAAGATAAACAGCAGATCCACAGGGCCTTGGCTGCCTCATGTCTGCTGCATCCTGCAGCATCCACTGCCCAGCCTGTGACAGCTCTCAGCTGTGGATTTTGAGTGTCCAGCCTGAGTGCTTCATGCATCTCACCCAAGCCCCATTGTGGGGCAGAAGAAGCTAGAGTCCCCATTGCACTTGCCAGAGTGCTTGAGCTGAGCTGCTGCACGTGAGCAAAGGAGAGGGGAGCACTATGGGATGTCCTCCTCAAACTCTGTCCCCATACCCTGAGTCACCTGGATATAGGGAGGGACCATCAGTGTCCCAAATCCTGCTTGGCTCTGCATGGGGAGATACACACAAGGTGAGGCAGAAGCTATAGCGACCCAAGAGAGTCACAGTTTAATGGTGGCTGTGCCTTATCATATCCCCTCAGGACCCTGGGGAGGAGGAGGGTGGGCAGGGATGGTGGCATGTCCTGGCTGGAGGCTTTCATAGCAAGGGTGAGTCCTGGCTCCAGTCTTCCCTGGCAGATGGGAAATACTGGAGATAGGAAGAAAAGCCCTTAGAAGGAAGAACTTTCCTCAGTGGCAGCCAGCAGTCCATGACGGAGCTGTGACATCCAACACCAGTGCTGCCCAGTTGTCTGCTGCTGTCTGTGGGCACCCTCCCAGCCTGGACTGCCCAGGAGCTGTCATGTCCCACGCTGGTGGCTTTGTTGCCCTGCAGTGCCAGTGCCTGGGGACAGCAGTGTCACATAGGATAGGCAGTAACTACCCCAGCACTTCCAACAACTCACCCAGAGACACGCACCAGAGCCAGCTCTGGCCTAGCTTGGACACTCCCTCCCTTCCCCAGCTTCTTCAGGAGATAGAGCAGGAAAACCTGTTAGTCCCCAGGGCAGCCTTGGAGTGATCCACTGGCTTTCGAGTTGGAGAAGTGACCTGTGTAAGTGCCTGCCTGGATCAGGGCCAGTAAGAGCAAACTCTGGCCATGAGGCTCCATCAGAGGAGGGAGGGAGAGACCAGAGGCAAGCAGAGATGCCTTTCCAAAGCAGGCAGAGGAATTGCCTGTTAGCAAGGCTTCTCTGCAAAGAGATGAGCACCATCTCTGAAAAACAACAGAACAAACATTGTGAGGAAGAAAAAAATAATGCTGGTTTCTGGAGCAGGGATTTTCAACCTGTTCTGCTTTGCTGATCTCCAAAAATGTGCCACTAGAGATGCAAGTTCCTTTGTAGCAAACCCACAACACCCAGCAAGATGCTTCCTGGCCACTCTTCCTTAAAAGCAGCCACGGAGCCATGGGGATCCCCCAGCCACGAAAGCTGCAGCTCCTGAGAGCACTGGAAACACAAACCAGGCATGTTTAGCCTCATGGGAGCCCCATGAAATGGATTGCAGCCCCAAAATCCCAGGGCATGGTTGCAAGAGCAATGCTTGTCCCACACTCACTAAGGAAGGAGCAGAAGGGCACCCAGTGAAGCTCAGAAAAGCTGAGGTGCAGCTCTGGGGAGCGCTGGGGACATTGCAGTTTCAAAGCCATGCTTCAGACATGGTGCTTGGTGTGGATTCTCTGGTGACTAAAAGTGCATCTGCAGAGGCAGGTCTCTTGGGGTGGGTGCTAGTGAGTGTCCCCCATCTGCTGAGCCTTGTTTCCAGGACATTGCAAGATCTAGAATCTCCCCCTCACATCACCACCAAATTTGTTTAAAATTGGTCCCATGGGTTTGCAACAATTAGAAAGGAATGAACAGCAAAAATGGGAGAAAGGCTCCTTTTCTTTGGAAACCAGTATGGACAGTAGGTAAAATAAATGGGGAAGGTGTAAAGGAAAGAAGTAGGAAATGAGTGATCGTGATAAAATATCTGTTTTCTCCAAAATCCTGTCTATCACAGGTGTCTCTACTGAAGTTCTACTGGGATTCCTGAGCATCCTTAACAAGTGGGGGGCAGTCCTCAGATACAGATTGGTTGCAATGTCCCCAGTCCTTGTCCAGAATCTCAGAAATGCCGTCCAAGAAAATCTCTTGGCAGGGATCTTCCCTGTGTTTCCGTCCTGGAGCAAGGAATGTGAACACAGAGCCCATAAGCTCTGCAGCTGAGCTGAGTGACACTGTGACCCCACAGGGGTGGCATTTCCCCCACATCCCTTTTGCTTTTAGCCACTGAAGTAAGGAGCATCTTTATACCAGATCTTCTAGACCAGATAAGCTCCCCTAGAGCCTGCACAGCCATGAGACAAGTTGGCCAAATAAACTGGTTGAAAATTGAAAAAAAAAAAAAAAAAGAAAAAAGGCAGAGTCTGTTCCCTAATTCCCTTTCGATGCACAAGCAGTGAGGGAGGCCGCACATGGGCAGAGCTGGACGGCTCCTTTGGCAGCAGCACAGATTTCGATCGGCTTGAAGCAATCATGAAAATGCAGCCTGAACTTCCAATGACTCACCCAGAGAAGGGAAACTTCCTGGCTTGTGTGTTTGAGCATTTCTGGAAAAACTGCTATATTTGGCATGGAAAATAGGAAGGATTCCTCCAGTTGCTTGAAACGGGAGCAGCAGAAATGAGTCAATGGGCAGTTGAAGAACGTTGAACAAGGACACTCTCTAAATTTTTCATTGTGATTCTCCACATTGTGTATTTTCCCCACAACATGCTCAACAGTGACAGCCCAGGATGGCCCAGGCTCCACCAGGAAGATCTTCAATTTATTGCTCCGACAGCCACCACAGCACTGAACATTGGCTGTTTATTATTGACTATGGACATTACAGGCTGCTCCCCATCTGTTTACCAACAAATACTGCTCCTAAAGGTATGGCATTGTGCTTATCACTACACATTGACCCAGCGTGAAAAATCTGCCAATTTATATTTTCATGACATCAGTAGCTAGAAATGCAGTTCTTGCCAGCTTCAAACACTCTCAAATGTTTCATCTAGTATGCTGGGGGAAAAAAATGAAGGAACTGCTCTTCTGCAAATTACTGTAGTTGGTGGAGGGGGGAGCTATTTTGAGGATTTCAAATGCATTCTTCTTTCCCTTTTTTTTTCAATAGTTGTCCAAATGGTTATTCAAACAGCTAGTTCATTAAAATCCTGAGTTGGTAAATGAAAATTGTCATTTTCAGATCATATTGTTATTACCTAAAGGAAAAAAAAAGATATGAATAAATTACAAGGAAAAAAAAATCAACTTTTCATGAAAAATCTGCTAAGAAGAGAGAGAGGGCAGCAAACATTTTCCATTGGGTGCAATGCCAACCAGCTCCTGGTTAGTGTATATTAAATTAAATATTCAATTTGGTCATGCACTGCTTTTATTGGTGGATTAAATATCGACAAATACTTTTAATGCAGAGAGATGCTTCATGCCGCAGCCTGGCAAAGCCCATCACAGGTCTTGATCAGTGCTTCGGGTGGGAAAACCTGTTTCTCTTGCCACCACAACCCTGCAAGGCTGATGTGTGGGATCCATGGCCATTGCATGGGGAGTCCTTTCACCTTGTGACCCGCTGATGTCCATCGAGGCTGGGTCAGCAGGGGGTGACCAGCACCTCTGACATGATGCTGAAGGTAGGAAGCCGGAGAGGAACTGTTAGGTAGTGACCCTTTCCCAGTCACTGACGCTTTGGAACTGAGGGACCTTCAGAACAGAGAGTGACACCACTGGATTTAACTTCTTCCAATTTCTCTGCTGAATTTATCCAGTTACTTTTTGCCTGTAAATTTTTAAGGCATTTTCCATGCTCCCACAGCAAGGAGGCCACAGCTCAGCGGTGGCAGGAGAGCTCTCCCTTTAAACTGGAGCTTGCTGCTTTCTGGTGGCCCCACATTCTTGTACAGGGAAGAGCCAAGCACCCACCTGATTTGGCAGACTTCTTTCCTCTTCTCTGCTCAGCCCCAATCTTTCCAAAGGTGCTGTTCAGTGGGAACCACCCCATGCAGGAGGGTTTCAGCCTGGAAGCAGCAGCCTCCTTCCCCTGGCTCCTCCCTGCAGGGCTGGAAGGTGGCCAGTCCCTCCAGAGCTCCAGCAGCGCAGGGGGCAAGCTGGGAGATGAGCGGAGGAGCACTCCAACCCCCAGAACCCCACATCTCCAGCCCACCAGAAGCCCCAGGCAGGAATGAGATATGTTGGCATCGTATCAGAGAGAAGGGTCTTGTCTGGGGCTCTGCTTTGCCTCTCACATGCTGCCCCTGGAGATTCGGTATCTGCTTGAGACTTCTGGTCCATCAATTATTTAATTCCCTCCAGCCATGTGGTCTCCAGCCCCGAGTGCTCATCTCCTCTGAGTGCACAGGCCTGCCTGTGGGGGGAGAGGGGCTGGGCAGGGGGATGCAGAGCTGGGGCTGGGCAGAGGGTTCCCACCAAGAAGCGAAGCAGAGGCACAGGGGACTGATCCTACCAGCCAAAGTCTTGAGGTGTGAACTTGGGCTGGCACCTTCTTTCCCAGCCACACATTGGTTAGAGGGATGAGTTCTTCTTCCAATCTCTGGGGATAACCCTGAGGAAATCACCTCCCTGCTCCATGCCTCACTTTCCCCACCTATAAAATGGGGCCAAGGATTTCACAAGTGGTGTGAGCTCCAGCGGCATCCCAAACGTGCATGCGAGACAGTGTTTTGCAATAAGCAAGAGTGTGACTCTCACCCCTGCTCACAGGGACTACACCACCGTGGATGTGCCTTTAGTGGATTATGTAAGGCTGGTGGTCCCCATTTGCTACTGCTGCCTGTGCTGTCTCGAGCTAAAGCAGCACGGCATGGCGCAGCACGGCACAGCACGGCACGGCAGGCGCTCCTGGGTAGGCAGGACAAGCCACAACATGAGGCCAGGCAGGCGGCTGGAGCCGGGTAGGTGTGTCCCTGTTACCCAATAAATAACTCAAGCCCTAAAGCAGCCCATTGTAATTACAGGGGCCCCGCGCAGATTGAAAACGAAAAAGAAGGAGGGGAAGAAAGGAAATCAAGGTTCAGTTCTTCCCCAGGAGGTAGCGCTCCATAGGGAAAGCAATAGAGGGGAGCGGTGATTTATATCTCTCCAGAGGAATTCTCCTTTGCAGGGCCGCCCAAGGCGCCGCCAGGTTCAGCTGAGTTTCTCATCTGAATATGCATGAGCCAGTAATTAATTCTCTCTGATACTGATCCAGATTTAGGATTGGTTTTGCGAGTGTGTGCGTGCGCGTTTTGTGTCCGTCTTCTCCCAGGTGTGCCAACGCACCAAGGAGGGATGAGACGAAGGAGTGGTGGCTCTCCACAGTTGTCCTCACAGGATGATAGCCAGTGACAGTTCAGGGCCAGCTTGGGGCAGACAGGTGGCCCTGGTTGGGTGGGGACTCCTGTGGGGTGGCACTGAGTGGTGTCCTGCTGGGGACAGCATGAGGAAGGAGGCCAGAGAGTAGGGCACAATCAGGGTCATGTGCTTGGGGCTGGCTACACCATGGGGAAATCCCTGCCCAAACACACATCCAGCCTTGGGCACGTGCAGGAGGCGTCTTCCCTCCTCCAGGAGGAAAGATACCGTGTTTGCAAAGTGCTGAGAAGAGGGAGGGAGGGAAGAGAATCTGGACTCACCTCCTCCCTCCCACCTTCCTCTCTTCTTTTAAATCTCTTCCATGCATCATTTGAGCAGTGGGACAGGATCCCTGAGGAGTGAAACCCTGTCTCTGGCCAAAGGCCCAGGCCTGGGGCGAGATGTGGGTGTGTAAGCACCATGCCATGGGCCCTTGCTCTGGGTCTGATCCACAGCTTGTAGTCACAACCAGCCTTCAAACTGGAGGAAAACCAGAAAACACTGATGAGAGAGAAACAACTGTTTTCCAGCTTCACAGAGCCCACACCCTAGAACACAGATGTCTTCCCCTGGCCACAGGAGCATGTTGCCCCATTGGCCTCCTCACCCTTCTCTTGAGAGAAAGGCAATAATCAGCTTTCCTTTAAACCTTGCCATGGGGTTCTGGCCATCCAGAGTTGGGTTAGGGATGAGTTGAAATTGTTCCAACACACAGGCAAGGAAGGACAGGGATGTGCATACTGGCACCTGGGTCATGGCATCAGCAGTGCTGGCCCTTGGCAGCCAGGAGAATATGCTGGATCCACTCCGGATGTTGTGGGCTCCCTGGAACAGCCAGCATCCCAAACTGCAGGCTTCCCTGGTCCTCTATCATGTCCCCTCTCTGCCTGCCAGGAGCAGGATTAGCAGCAGTGGTGGGTTATATTGCTCCCCTCTACCTGGCCCTGGCTCCTGACAGCACCCACGTGTGGCAGAAAAGGGACTGCCTTGGCACCACATCTCAGCCAGATAGGGCAGTGGCTTCCCAGAGCCACAAAGAAGCCAGTGAGCATCAAGGGACTATGGTGCCATTGCCTGCTGGGGTCAGAGGATCTGAAGAGGTCACACGCCCTTTCCCACACCCTCCAGTAACAGGGGATAACTCCTCCACAATATTGTCTTCACTCTGTGGCTCTATACAGAGGCCCAAGAACTGTGCCATGTCCTGCCTACCACATCCAGGTCCATGCAGTGGAGCACAGAGACAGACTCCCTACACCCATCTGAGGGATCCCTGCTATGTCTACAGGCTGTGAAGCAGCGGGCTGGGCACGGCTTGGTGAGTCAGAGCTCTGTGTTGTAACATGGGGGGCAGAGCGCGTGTCGGAGCAGGGATGGCCGTGAGCTGCAGTATGGGGCCCGCCTGGGCCTTTTGCAATCCTCTGGGGAAAGGCGAAGTCAGTGTCTCCATCCCTTAATTAAAGTGTGCCACAGGGCCCCGCTCCTGCCTGTTTACGTGGTTCGTGGGGATGGACAGAGGAGCAGCAGCCTGGGACATGGGGAGGAGGGCAGCCTCATCAACCCTTCCCTGGGCTGGGGCAGCCAGTGCTCTTGAACGCAGCCTCTGCCTCCTGTAGCCAGGTCTCAGCCTTCGTCCCAGGGTCTCTCAAAGACACTTTTTGGACCAATTAGCCAATTCCAGTTCTCTACATACCTCCCCTCAGTCCTATGAGCCCACATCAAGTTCCTTCCCACCTCCCCATCG